CTGATTCTAGGCCTAGGTTTCCAGGCCCTCATGACTGGGTATTTGAAAGTCAAAAGATAAAATTGAGTGAACGTCTGTCTGGGCAATTTATGGTAATAATGAGGCCTAATGAGGTTGTTAAAAAGATAAAATGTTATTTACCAAAAAAACCCTGATGGGATAATTTGACTTGCTGTGTTTTACTGCTGATGATAAAAAGAATATTGATTGCAAATAAATCACCGCCTCTAAACGCCTGCAAACAGTTTGTGTTTGCTTGCTCCAGATCAAAGTCAAACTTCAGAGATAAAGTAAGGAGAAGAGGACTAGGAAATGAGGGGTCCCCTCCTCGCAGCCGGGCGCTCGGGCCCTTGTGTTAATATTTCACGGGATAAGCTCTCCTTTTGTATTAAAAAAAAAAAAAAAAGTGGTGTTTTTGTTATTGTTGTTGATAATGGCCAGGATTAAAAATTTAAATGATCTGTCAGCACTATGGACTTTTAAGTGTGGATGAATCATTATATGCAGATTAATTGAGGCCGTAGAAGGAGCGTGCTTTCGTTTTAAAATGCTGGCGGATTTAGACCCGAAGAAAACCCGAATGGTTTATTAAGATTGACCCCTCAGGGTCGAACGGAGGGGGTTTGGGCTCTTTTTCCCCCCCTCCCCCCCCACGTTTGGAGAAACTGTTTTATGAGTCTAGTTAAATGGTTTTTCTCTCTACCTAGTGTAGGATAAACTTGGAAATCCGGGTTTCTCAGCTGTTGGTGGCGGGGACCCAGGGAGGCCTAGGGAAATTCTAGGGGGCTGCGGCTGCTTGCTCTTCCAGAGATCACGGTCGTTTCTGGAACTTTTCTTGCAAAAACGATCGCCATAATCGGTGGAAGTTCAGTTCCAGGATTCCGCCCATCGTTCTGACACCTCCCTCCTCCCCCCGTAGCGAACTGGGGGGCCTTCCTGCTCTGGGGAGCGTGCCAGGGCGTCACCGACTGTCTGGGAAGGCCGCAGTGGGCCGGGGTGCCCGGGAAGCCCTTGAGCCGACTGGGGCGGCTGCCCCCGAGTGTCCCAGCTCCCAGGGCACACGTCTCACTCCCTGTCTCTTTCTCTCCTTGCTCGCACTGCCCTGTGGTGCAGGGCTCGCAGTACGAACTCAAGGACAACCCCGGGGTGCACCCTGCCACCTTCGCAACCCACACGGCGCCAGCTTATTACCCCTACGGCCAGTTCCAGTACGGGGATCCCGGGCGGCCCAAGAACGCCACGCGCGAGAGCACCAGTACGCTCAAGGCCTGGCTCAACGAGCACCGCAAGAACCCCTACCCCACCAAGGGCGAGAAGATCATGCTGGCCATCATCACCAAGATGACGCTCACGCAGGTCTCCACCTGGTTCGCCAACGCGCGCCGGCGCCTCAAGAAGGAGAACAAGGTGACGTGGGGCGCGCGCAGCAAGGACCAGGACGACGGCGCCCTCTTCGGCAGCGACACCGAGGGCGACCCCGAGAAGACCGAGGACGACGAGGAGATCGACTTGGAGAGCATCGACATCGACAAGATCGACGAGCACGACGGTGACCAGAGCAACGAGGACGAGGAGGACAAGCCCGAGGCGCCGCACGCGCCCGCCGGCCCCGCCGCCCTCGTCCGGG